TAATGTTCAAGTGTATTGATTCAGAAATTTGAAATGAAATTATCAATTTTTATGCAATTTAAAAATTTGTTCACAAAGATTCATTTTCAATTTTGCTATTCAATTTACATAAATTGCTGTTAAAAAAAATGTATTTTGCAACGTTTAAAAAACGCTGCAAAAGACCTTTTGCAGCGTTTTTTAAATGTTGTCATTTTACTTCCCTCTTTGGCAACAATGAACTTTGCAACACATGATAAAACGTTGCAAAAGGCTTTTTGCAGCGTTTTTTGGCCGTTGCAAAAGGCCTTTTTTGGCGTAGTGTTTATGTGGATGGTATTTGGTCTGTTTATGGAGGCCCAATTACTTAAGTGAAATAGCCCAAGTTTTGTACCTAACCTAATGACTACATATCCATTACCTCTTCCCAACCGTTTTCTTGTGGATGGACTTGCAATAGGAGAAAACTTTGTTTCAGAGAAACAACCATTGCTTCCTTTGCTTTCTTCCTTCCCTTTGTGATATTGTATCCATCACTGTCATCCTTTGTAGGTGAGTAAGAGGGCAACTTGAGTGGGTGACAGAGGCAACCAAGAGTGCAATTTTGTGGGTCGAGCAAGCCGTGGTTGGTGTTTGTTTGATGGTTTTTCTGAGCCCCGATTCAAGATTTCTTGAGGGATTCCACCAATAAATACTAACTAGAATATAGTAATTTTATTGAAAGATAGTGAACATATGTAGCGTGCTTTATAGAATTCCCCTTAAGGTTCTTGATTCCTCTTGAATCCATTTTCAAATTCTTGATCTTTCTCTAGTGTTATTCAAGGACTCAAAAAAACTGCATAGATTTCCTTTTTGTGTGTGTGCGTGTGACCATGATAATAAAAATTCAATCGCAAGACATTTACACACGCTCATAGAGGAACTTTTCTTTTTCTTTTGATTCAAACTATTTCCTTTCCATATACAAATAGGGCACACGACCGCGCACACGTGGCACCTATCCACTACACATGGCTACTTTGTTGGCACGTTTGAGTCCACTTGAACCTAATTACTTCAACAATAGGCCTTGATAAATTATAATTTTGGTAATTTTTAGTAGTTATTATTTTGAAGCCATGAAGAAACTTAATTAGACTAAATTGAATTACGATAAATTAATCTTGACCCAATTAATTATTAATCAATCAAATTAATTCATTAATCTCATTATATTCCATTAAAATAATGAGATTACACTCTTAATCGTATAGAAATTACTGAAACAATATAAGCTATAATAATATCCTTGACTTGTCTATATTACATATTTCACTTGTCAATCATTTCGAATATTTAGAACAAGGTTAAAATAATAAAAAATACCACTTTCCAAATGTGCATAAATCTTAAAATCCTATTTTTTGTCTAGAAGTTCTATGTAATCATCTCACAATATTGATTCGACAACCAATGTCAAATTACTAAGCTCAAATTTATCTTCTAGTAACATCCATTGAGGTGGTTGCGAAAATTTACACCAAGATCGTCAATTGTGCAATCCCTGGCCCAGACTTTATAAAAGAATCGAACACAGTCAATTACCAAAGGCTCAACCTAAATCCAAACTTTACTATGATTACCCTCTTGTATTAAGTCACAAAGTCATAGAATAATGGTAGCTGAAATATATCTCAAGGAGGGAGAAGAGAGGTAGCTTTTAGGTCACGTTCTCACCAAGAATAGCTGCCCTCAATTTCTCAATGCAACACATGGTTCTTTCCCTAACATAGACAACTCCTTTTATAGTTTTAGGGCTAGGAACACATTGGCCAAGACATAATAAATTGGACCAATGCATAAACAAGAAGATGGGCAAAAACCAATCGACAACAAAGTGGGCTAATTAATTAAATAGCCGTTTAACTAATGAATGGACCATGAGCAACACAAATTAATGTTTTTGGGTCCAGCCAATCAATCGTGGTGTCGATAAAATTAGTTCAATAACCTAGATTTATTGGGTATCAAAAGTCAACAAATCTCCACCTTAATACCCAATGAACTTGCAAGCAAACAACACCAAGTTTATATTTGCATTATCAAAAAAATAATTGGAATCATAAACCTTACCTGTGTCTCGGACCGAAACACATACCATACATGCTCCATATACTCACCAAATGATAAGGTCAAGAACCCAAGTAGAAATAGATATTCACAATAATCAATCAAGAGCATATAATAGCATACATCATATGATAATACACCGATCTTTTCAACATGTTCAACATACGGACAACAACAAATTAACACCAAGTTAATTAAGTAAATAGCCAACATATACAACCAATGAATAAATGACCCCATGAAAAGATCTTACAATAATTATCCAACCCTATTTCATGTAGCACGTCTTATCACCAATCATGCTTACAAGATTGGTCACTCCTCATGTCTAA